CAGGCACCCTCGCGGCAGCCACCCAGTGAATTAAGGAAGCGACACCCAAAGGTGCCCCCCCATGAGCAGGGCCGGAGCTTTGGGAGCACAGGGATCACCCGCATCCCCAAGGGCCCCCCCCGGAGCAGCCCCCAGCCCCCCAGGGCAGCACTGGCCGCTCCATCCTTCAGCTCTGCCACCACCGTCCCCAGCCCGTCCTTACCACAGGACACGGGGACACTCGCCACCCATCTCCATCGCTTTATTGTGAGGGTCACCCGCGGGGGATGGGGAGAGATGGACAGGGGGATGGACCACATCCCCAGACTAAAAACATTATAGAATCCCAGAGCCACCCCAGGGACCTGCGGCACCACACAAGGCACAGACTGTTCCCTGTGGCAAATGTCCCCACAGCATTGAGAGCAAGCCCGTCCTGCCCCAAGGCACCCTGTGGCTTCTCCTTCCCCCCAGCCCCGCAGATAGGGCAGGCAGAGCCAGGGCAAGGAGGATCTGGGGTGCCCCCCCTCCAGGGTTTCAGCCTCCAGTGCTCAGGAAATGACGCCATTTGGAGCTGCAGGTTTCCAGGCATGTCCCATGGCCAGGCTCTGCAGCGCAAGCAAGGATTCACAAGTGAGCGTGTAAAGACGCCGGGTGCTGCCGGTCTCAGCTCACAGACGTGGGCTCCAGGCTCCCGTTGGCGGCCCCTCCACGGGCCTGAGTGGAGGTGGCTTCCTCCAGCCGGCTGTCCTCCCTGGACCCTGGCCAGCACGCTGCCATCGGCGGGTGACCCTGTCCGGAACAGAAAAAGCGCAGGGTGAGCTGGCTGCCACAGGACCTGCCTGGGCAGAGACAAGGGCAAGGCCAGGCTGTTGTCACTCCCACACGAATTGGCCGATCCACAGGGACAGGAGTGCCAACAGACGGGGAGATGTTTCCTCTGGGCTCCTGCTTGAAACCAGCGGCTACAGCAAACCGATGGCCTTCATTCAGGGCCTTGGGTCCCCCCACCCCAACACCTGGCTCCCTCCAGGGGACAGGCACTACAGGGACTCCTTGGTTGTAGGGACAGTGTCAGAGGGGTGACAGGGGACACAGGATGGGGCGTCTGAGGACATCTCCTTGTGGGAATAGCCCGAGTGAGCCGCAGGCTCCGGGTGGGACACAAGAGGAGCAAATAGCAAGTGAAAAATGAGACTCGAAAGCAGCTCTTTGCCCAGAAGATGACAGCTCCCCTTAAAATCCCCAGATGGGAGAGAATGGGCTTCCCACAGTGGGTAGTCCCCAGCCTGTGAGACATCCCCACTGCATCCCAGACAGCTCCCACAACACCCGTCCCACGCACAGGAAGAGCGCGGCACCAACCCAC